TAGCGGCACTATACGTTCCTCTTCGCCCTCGAACAGGAACGCAAAAAAAAATCAGCGCTAGCGAAATAATGAAAAAGAAGAGGGGGGAGTAGGTGGAGCGAGAGAAAAAAGGAGCCTTTTGATGAGGCAGAGGCGGAGTGGCAAGGTGGGGGGGAGAGGAAGGAGAACAAATAGCGCACCGCTTTCGCACACGTGCATGCCCTCCACGTGGGTGGTGCGCACGTGGATGTACGTACGCATGGTGGCAGTGGGACGGACAGGCTGCGGACAGACAGGCAGCGCGTGCGCCTGGTGGCGGCGACGGCGACACGGCTGCCTCCTCCTGTATTCTGCTGTGCAGTGCTGTGTTCGCCTGTTCCGCCACAGCTAGACGAAGGAGGGAGCGAACTGAGCTAGCAAAGGCGTGAACCTACACGGGTAAGCATTCACCCACGCACACACACACACGCAGAGGCACGGCCGCACCTCGCGATGCCCATTTAACACCACGTCGACCTTCCGTCTCAGTACGCAGACCTCTCACTCTGTCTCTCGCCTGTGTGGGTGTGACTCGTGACTCGACTCCTTCTCGCCACAAAAGGATTAGACAATCAAACACCTGACCTTGCAATCAACTCGACTTCTTGCTAACTCTAACAAGGAACTCGGTGAGTCTGCTTTTCACTGCATCTGATATTAATGTCAGTTTGAGATATGCATCCCTATGGTGCAAGTGGCAAGCTTCGGCTGCGCATTTGCAAGTGTATTGCCCTTCTATCATGCTCGTTGAAGATGTTAACCGCAATAACTGCAATAAATTGTTATCCTTCTGAGTTAATTTTCTAACCAGTGGTTATGGGGTCGACTCAATCGATACTGACATTGACCCCATATGATTTTTTACACGACTCTGGGGCAGAGCTATCGAAAAGAAGGACTTTTGTGATGTGATTAAACGATTTAATAGGGCTTTGGCTTCAATTTGTCAGATTCTGTTCAAGTCTGATGGTGCAAATACGCTCCACAATGTGTCTTACATTTTTTTTCGGTAAAAAGTATCAATATTTTGGTACAAAGTTGTAATAACTAAAACAACTATTTGTTTGTTCAACAAGTGCTGGTATTTCATGGGTCAAGGCTCATCGTGGCTCGTCGCACACGAAGTTCTTGCAATGTCATCGCCTTACTTTTGAACATCAAATATTCGGTTAAAAATTATTGGAACGAAACAGTTTTAGCTCTTGACTAATGATTGGACCCCAAATTTCTGTAAATAATAATGCCTTAAAGTTACCTCTGGTTGTTTTGATGTGAAGTAAACCTGAATTCCAGTATTTACTAACCAAAAACCATACTAGAAATGGTTCTTCTTTCTGGTAGTTGCAATCAACTTGTGCCCAGTTTTTATGTGCGTTTGCAGGGCATTACTTAAACAAAGCTTACTTTCAACGGAGAGAACACCATTGCAAAAAGTCTCCTTTCTAGAAGTTTGACCCTGATCCCTCTTTGCGGATCTATGGTGGAAATCGCATTTGATTGAGAGCCTTAAAGAGAATGATAATGCCCTTTGGATCACTTTGGGGATCAACGGTCATCCTCCAAAAATAATTTAAATCTTAGAATCACCTTCTAGCAAGTCGCAACAGATTAGACTTAAAGGTTACCACTTTATTGCTGATCAAAGAAGTAGCAATGGATTGGCTGTCCTAGTGGAAGTCTTCCTATCAAACGTCACGTTTATTCGTAAAATCGCATATGACCTCCAACAAAACAATGCAGTGCCCACTGATGTTGTTTCATTCTGTATTTAATCCATATTAGGAGTCGCCTTCAGCACACTTTTCTTCATTACTTATAGCGAAATTTTCGCCTCGTTTGATAAAGAGAGCTTCAGTTTTTTAGGACTTGTTAACCAAATTACTTTTGTGTGGGTTTTTTAAATAAAATTAATTGTTTACGTTTGTTTTTTTCGTACTGTTCTCGTCTCCCAAAGTATAGGCAGTTCCAAGAAGGCGATTGCAAAAAAATGCCACCTTTACCCCATATAAGTTGCGCATCTCTGACCCGCGCTTTGGTTAACACCAAATTTCTCTATCGTAGCCTGAATAGCAACCACGGCTTGTCGCTACGATGCAAATCCCGGTGTTTCGAAAGTCGCAACGATGCGGGCATGGAGTCTTCTAAGTACCGATCTTTTTACCTGACTCCCTAAAATGAAAATTTGCTGGGTTTATTGATATAATTTCACAAAATGAGGATCAGTAGACACTAGGGCGATGATTAAGGGCGGCGGTCAGGGGAAATGTGGAGGAGGGCGCCATTTGCACACATTTGGCTTCCAAGAGGCCCTCGATTTTTGGGCCTGTGATTGTCCTCCCCACAAAACCAGATGGCACAGCTGTGAAATATTATCCAGGCCGCTTGGGCACCACTGGAACTGGTTGTGTGTGGCTTTTCCTCCCCCTCAAATTGACCATTAGACACAAATCCACTTTTCTTTTTAATTTAAAGGGGGAAACATGACCTCCATTATTTAAAATTATTATCAGGGGTGTATAAATCTAGTTCTTTGGATAACCGAGCAGTTGATAATGCAGCTAATAGCCTTGGGACACGTGTTTTAGATTAGTTAATTGACCTTTAAAAGTAGGTAGTCAGGTGATTTCTAGGTTTATTTTTCTGACACTAAAGCTAGAATGACAATGTTTCTACGTTATTAGCAAGAAATGTGATTTTTTGGTTCTGTCAATCTTTTCATGGAAAAAAATGAGACACTTCCGATGTCCCGCTCATTTTAAACCAAATTATAACTTTCAAACGAGCCCTTTTGGAGTCAAGCGGCTGAAGTGGTCAGAGGAGGAACAGCTAAAAGGGTCCATTATTCGACGGACGTTAGGACGATTTGCTGTTCCAGGACTCTCCATATTCCGGTACGTAAAATCCAATGCCATTTTTGAGAAACGTTCAAGCACTGAGGGCCATTTTTTAAAAATGTTAAGCCCCTTTTTAGTGTTCAGTACTCAAGATTTTGTTCTGCGGGATATTTGAAATAGCTTTTAGCAATTGCCACATTTTCTACGCCTTTTTGCCCAAAAGACAATGTAGCTTTCCCCTTTGAGGAAAAAAGTGTTGAAGGCGAACCTCGGAATGTTATTTCATTCAAAAAATGCAGCTCTTAGCACTAAACTCTCGTATCTGCAATGTTCTGATCTGTAAACAAATTTCGGTGGTTTGATTTATGAGGTTAAAGTGCCGGCTGGTTGAAATGTGTTGTGAAAGTTGTGGACAAGATTTTAGGCAGAATTAATCTGAGTTTATGTTACAATAACCGTTGTCTCCCTCACTATGACGTTTTGAGGTAGCTAAGACATTCTGAGGTTTTATTCAATCTTCCTGTTATTTCATTGACAATTTTGTCCCAAGAACCTATTTAAGCAGTTTAATTATTTACACTTACTAAAACCGGAGCGTTCCAATTTGCATATGAGGTCAAAAACAGGGAGGAACCTTATAATTTTGCCAATCTTCTCACCGATTTTCTCGAGAGGTGGGAAGAAGTTGGTAGATGAGTGGCATTGTCTGTCAAATAGTGGAAGAGCGATGGCTTGGAATCGCAAAAGCCATAGCGACTAGAAAAGACTTAAACCCACCGTAAATAATAGTGGGAGTAGGCAGTGCTGTGCAGACACCATGCTACTGTAGGTGACTACCACCCACCAGCAATGTCGCTACTGCTGCAGTTACTTCTGCTGTTTCCTCAGCCGAATGTGGTCCTTCGTCCTCCCCTCTCTTGAGCCACGCCGCTCCCTTAACCCCTTGCCCATTTGTGCGAACGCTTTAGTGGCGTGCCGGTGTGTGGTTTGTGACTGTGCCCGATTGCCACTTGCTCGGGCTCTTATTTGTGTATCCGCTATTGGAAAATAAGGTCAAGAACACGCCTCCTGCCCTTGATCCCTCTCTGCCTTACCCCCTATCAGTTGGACGGACAGTAATAAAGTGGAAAGTGGTGGTGGTGAGGGTGATCGTGAACGAGGGCTCGAGTAAAAAGGTCACTGTCCTTTTGCTCGATTAATTGCATCACCAACGGTAACGTGTTTGCTTTCAAAATGAAGTAAAATTTCAATCCCTCCTTCTTCACTTCGTGTTAATGAACCTGGAGGACTTGTTTGATATGTCATCTCATATTAACGCTTCCCTCTACCATCTGAGTAGCGACTGAGCGGCTACCCAAATGGATTCTTTTTAGGAATTTCATGTGAATTTGCCATATTAAAAGAGGGTAGAAAAACGGCCTACTATTTTTATTATAATATCCTGTGCAATTAATGTACTTTTAAGCAAACGATTTCAAAGAGTAGATTTTCACCTTATAATTTGCTGGTGCAGAAATCGTTGTATTTATACATTGTCTAATGGCATATAAATTATGGTTATATAATATCCGAATTTTGTGCTACGCTCTGGTGGTACTGTTGCTAGAGAACGCCCTTGGAGCCCTTTCTTCTACTTTCCCCAAATGTTGAGTATCCTCCTATTCCCCAATCACATAATGAATCGGTAGATACTTCTGACAGCTCAACAGTAGCATTGGTAAAAAAACCATTATTTTCATTTGTTTTTTTTTTTATTGCCAGGACTTCATTTGATTTGTGCAATGAGTCTTGGTTTCATTACAAGTCAGAAAAAATAGGTTTTATAACATACTTAACTATAAGTTGATCCCTTCAAAACTCCTGCGTGAATGACGATGGCCATTTTGATTACAAATCCAAAGATTATGAAGCAGCACGACAATTCAAGTGAATTTCGCTAGGAGCAGAGAGAAGAGAAACAAAGGGTTGGTAAAATTCGACTTCCTTCCTTCCCTCCTTTCTTCTTAAAAGACCCCTGGTAGAGTGTTGGGCTAAAGCAGATAAAAAAGGCGCAAAAAATAGGAGACCGATCGCGTCAACTAATTTGTTTTGCTCCACGGGTAAGATGGGGTGGGCTGGGGTGATGATGGTGAGAGGAGAGGAGACAAGATGAGAAGAGTGTTTGTGCTAGAGCAATCTGCTTGCAAGGAAATTATCCGCTTCAACTGCCCGGGGCAACTCGAACGGCCACACGCACACACGCAAAGGAGCTGTTCCACTCACGTCCCGATCCCACCCTCACCCGCTTACTGTTCCCCGTTCCCGCTTCTCTTCCCTCTTCTCTCATCCCTCGGCGGTGGCGGCGGCAGCGGTGATAGTCAATCAATAGCTCGTTCGTGTCCTCCCATTCACAATCGGCCACTTCCTCCACCTCCTTGTTGTTTCTGTTCCCCTTAATCCTCCTCCACTTTCTCCTCCTCATTTGCTTCTTTTCTACTCTCGCCTCGCCCACTCCACGTCTTCTTCCGACCAGGCCTGTACGTGGGGCAGCGACAGCGTCAGTGGCAGCGGCACCCACCACACACACACACTAATGAGGAGTATACGAGGTGGAGCTGTCTCTCTCGTGGGGATTTGCTGTCTCTCTCAACTGGCCCAGCCTCATCCCGTTTTGCTTGCGCGTGACAGTTAAGCGAACACACGCACACGCACACCTCTCCCTCCTACAAACACACGCGGAAAGACGCGACTCCTCATCCTACTCGTTGATTAATTATCGCCATGGGAGTTTCTCTCCCGGCACGAGAATAAGGAGCCTAATTTGGCTCTGGCTTAAGGAAACACCACTGCTGCTGCCGCTTCTGCGCACGGATCGGGCCAGGTCGACTAGGGTAAGGCAATGGGCAAATGGGGATTTGTATCTTATAAACTTAAACTGGAATTGCCGATTCCACTGGATTAGGTTGAAAAGGCACAGGTACTTGTGCGTCCCCTTTTCAGTACATATTCTTCTGCCTTAAAACTCAGTTATTTTCTGTGTCAATTTTCTTCTTCAGTTTAAAGAGCATAACTGATTTTTAAATCCAAAGCACGAACCAAACTATCCAGATATAGGTAGTAGGTGATAGTGTTAAATGGCCCACTTAACTACCAATTTAATGTGTTTTAAAAAGAAAAATATTGCAAGGCATTTTATGATTTCGATTTCTAACCTGCATTTCCCTTTAAGCTACCAACCTAGACGAAGATCTCTCCGCCTTGGCCATAAATTGGGTGACCGTAAATGTCAGTCTTGACTGACAATCAACTTAGCATTGCGTACATTAGACCTGCCTTCAAAAAGGGATAATGAAAGATCGTCACCACCCCATAATACAAAATCGCCCTTTAAATATTTTCGGAATAACACTGGAACACTTGAACACCACCTCATGGAAATATTTTTGCAACGGAGCCTTGGAATCTAAAACAATTTTAAGAGGCATAATAGCGGTTAGTAACGAAGCCGACTAAAGAAAACTCAACCTCTTTCTTCACTGAGATGAGTTTGTTTCTTTCCCAAGTTATGAAAGGATATAAGGTCGTCGAAGGCCAAATTTCTGGTCACAGTGACGTAGTTAATCAGGTGTTGGGAGGAAAAGCGTTTAGAAGTCGAATCGACGGCCGAAAGAAAGCATTCATTTCCTACCGTAAGTCTAAAATCGGCTTGTGCAAGTTTGACTCATCCTGAAAATAAGGAGGCTTTCTCGGTAGAGGCACGCATTCCCACTGGCGTACTCAGTCATATCCACGGGCGTTTGCCTCGTGTTTGTGTGCCCGGGTGTGCTTGCCTCCCTCCAGTTTTCCCACTTATGAGCAAAAATATTCCCAGCTCGCCTCGAGCAAAAGCTCACACAGTCCCTTCGTACCTCCCCTCTACTGGCATAAGCAACATTAGAGTATACGCCTAAATTGGCACGACACCCTCTCTCTTGCCCTCATCTATCCGTCTGTTCTTGCCGTGTCTGGTAATGCTGCCAAACAACTTCGATGCCTCTGGAAAAAAATCCCACTAAATAAGTGCAACCAAAAAAATTCAGATTTTACAAATGTGGCTATTAGGCAGCCAGTTAAGGTAAAAACAAAATTTGGCGGAACTTTTAAACGAGTTGGATAAATGGCAAAACTTAATGCTCAAATTCTTGAATAACAAGTGGATGGAAGACATTTTAACAAAATTGCTGCTTACAGGTAAGGCTTTGAAATTCGAAGAGCTTTAACTTTATGATGTAATAAGTAACGGACCTTTAAAAATATTGGTGATGGATCTACCCTGCCATCTACCCCTCCATCCACCTCGCTTTTGTATTAAATGATTGTCGTCTGACCCGCATCTGGTTTGGTAGATGTAATACATGCATAGGCAAAAAAGTTCTCCAGATTAATAGAACTTTATTTAGCTGAAAATTCTGCCATTTTCTGATAGCTTTAGGTAGATCACTAGGCTAAAGAAATATGCTCTCTATCTAGATGATTTTGCTATTCATCGAAGATCCACCTGTACGTCTATCTACTGTCCTTCTATCCGTCCGTTCGCTGCCCCACGATTAAATTAAACTCCGCCAACTTCGAAAAAACTCGCCTTGACAGTGAAAGCTTAGATCCTTTTAGGTTTGAATTAATTTGGAATTGTACACTCGGCAATCTTCTGGCTTTATTAGATCAAGGAGATTCTCCACCATGAGTTCAAACGCGCTAACCAAATGGAAACTATTAATGATGCTCGCAGCACTACCACTCATGTCAATCAATAAGATCCTGATGAAATCTGAGGTTCCAAAATCCTATGGTGTCGTGAAGTGGCTAACCTAAGTTGTTTACGAGAAAACACAAAGCCATAAAACGGGGTAAGGTAAATGGCAAATTGAGCTCGTTTAGAGGTGAGGACTTTTGTGGTTTTCTTCTGAAAAGCTCTCTACAAATTCGTGTAGTCGCTATAGGGTAGATCGAATCAGTTGCAAATAAGCTAACTTCTAAAGCTGCCAATTTAATATTTAAGGTAAATCAATTTAGCACTGATCGTGATAGGCTGCTTCCAAAACACACAATTCTTAAAGTTGATTTATGAGGATGATAAAAGTCCTCCTTTGACCCCAAAATACTGATGGAGGTTCACCCATTTTTCGCTAAAAAATCATTGATCATTCAAAGAGTTCCAGTCCTCATTCCCTACTTTTTGCTACCATTAGAAGACCCTTCAGAGACGGAGATGATATTCAGCTAGCTCTGCACCTGAATTGCGAACTTAGTATGACGAGAATCGTTCCTTGCACTACGGTGGCACGAGCAATAAAAGAACATAAGTAAGCATGCGAATCAAAAGTGGACAAACCAAAGTTGTTCGCAGAAGTTTTCCTCTCCTCTACGCAAGAGTGAACTATTCATTCTGCCTTTCCGGTCCTCTTGTCTACATGCGGACAATAAACGGTAATAATTGTCAAGTATGAAGGGGAATCATCTCAAACAGCAAAGAAGTGGACTTTGGATAGATAATCTTCGCTGGTATTCTATATTCAGTTCGGAAAAGAAAAAGAGCTTTCGTCATGATACTGATAGCAGTACACCTGCTACAGGAGCCCTTCCATCGATAACGAATCCATTCTTAGAACCTGTGCCCTCAAGGGAAGTCAATCTGAATAAGAACTACAATGACATCAGACCACCATTTGTTTGAAAATAGAGCAAAGAGTTCCTCATAATCTTATTTATGATAAAGTTTACCTTTTTTAATCGATTGAAATATTGTTTACAAAAATGGCTTTCCAGGAACCAAAAATTACTCCGAGTTTATTTGCTGTGGGTGGTTTAAGCAACTCTGCTTGTGCGAGATATGCAATAAACATTGTCATTGAATCAAGTAGTAGGATTTCCTCAACACTTCGCCTCATTCTTGCATATGCATCCGACACTTCAAATGACGTGTAATTCCGTTTGACTAGATGCTCTTTCGATACAATGGTTTAGTCCTTTACCGCAGTTTTAAGTCCAGAACTTCGATTGACTTGTGCTATTATAAAGATGCATGAAGACAAGGTTAAAGTTAATACCTATTTTTTAACATGGCTGCCCTTATCATTCTTTTTCCAAAAATAGTATCCTCCGTAGATTAAATTTATTTCCTATATTTTTTAACAACGATGAAAAAGTTTGGCTACCAGTTCTCGGCTGTTCTTTTTGCTTGATTGGTTGAACGGATTTCAAAGCTAACACAATGAATGTACCGAGCTGTAGGCAAAAAACCTTACGTAAATGAATCGCTATAAGAAACCCAGCATCCGCCATAAGCGGTTGACCGAGCAGACATTAGGGAGATGCATTCATTAACTTGTAACACAAGCACTTCCAGTCCGAGTTAATGCACCTTCTGCATCCTACGGAACGTCACCATGGCCTGATGGGCGCCAAGATGGAGGGGAAGGGGCAAGGGGGCCGAAAACGGGGTAAAGTTGTTGATGGGGCGGACGAGAAGGCGGCAGCCCGACTAGCGAAACCGTCCGCCCACTTGCACGCACGCACGCACGCACACGCGTGTGCCAACGACCACCCCGAAGGAGGCTTACCAACCTCCGCTAGGACCCAGTCCCTCCTCCTCCTCCTCCTCCTCCTCCTTTGCTATACCCCGCTTCGTTCCCTCTAATTTTGGGTCCAGTGTGAATTAAAAGGGAGAAACCGATGATTCTCCTCTCTTTTCCCCTTGCCCTCACTCTTTTACTTTTCCTTCTTTCTTATACACGCATATGCGGTAGAGCTGTCCTTCACCTTGCTCCCGCCTCTGCTCTCCTGAATTCCATGCTTTGAAAAGTCGGAGTACTTGTGAAAAGGATTTTTTAAAACTAAGAGCCTAAACACATTGTTTTGTCGTCTTTCTTACATCTCTATCGTTTTCTCCTTCCACACTTGGTTCTGTGACTGCTCCAAATTTGTCGTTTTTGGATGATGTTCTTGAAAATGAACATCATTTTTCCTTTCCTAACGTACAGGTGATAGATGTCCCACGTAGGACATTGACCCACTTATACGGTGGTGCAGTGGATTCAGTTTGTTTTATTCTATGATGAATTTTTAGAGAGCCAGAGAGAATATTTTGGCGGCTTGGTCATTGTGCCCATTCAGAAATAATGCTTTGGGTTGGGTTTTCAATTAGATCTACTACGAAGACGGTGGACGAAGAACTTTTAGCGTTTCCAACCCATCTTTATTATTTGACGCTTTAAAGACAACCCTCCAATGTCGAATGATAATTTCATAAATATTTAAAGATGTTGGCTACTTGACGTTTGTAGGGGGTTTGAGTTGGAGTTCCCCCCTTATATTCAACAACTGGGGGAAAGAATGCTGCTGAACACTCTAGGCCACACTAAATACTCCGAGATCGCAGTCTACAAATATACAACTTTTGGAAGTTGTAAATCTTTAACGAAATTTTACCTAGCTTAGCAGTTTTACCTGCTCTAAGTAGTCGTGATTTGGTGGCCCACAATGATGCATCAGTCATACTGAAGTATAGCTCACTGGTTAGGAGAAATTAATACACAAACGACGCCTCAATATTACGTAATGTTGACATGTTTTTTATCAGCTAACGGTAACGGATTGCCCCAGATCGTACTGCTAAGCAATTAGCTGAGGTTGAAACACTACAATTTCGGCATGTTATTTTTGGTTCAAGGATACATCAACTTCTTTGGTTAAGACCAGTAACTTGAAGAAAAATTATTGACAACTTCAATCATCTTAGAAGAAGAAAACATTTGGATGGGTACTGTAAGTTGATTTTCCCTTGAGGGAATGCTTGGAGCAAGACTAATTCTGATGGTACAAATCGGGTAAAAAGAGAGTGACCGTAATGCACTAGCTCAAACATTTACTCAAGCGGGTCTCGGGACTTTGAATTTTGGATTTAGGTAGCGTTAGCGGCGATGGCGAAGCAAGGTGCTAATAGGGCGGAGTCATTGCTGGAACGGAGTGAGGACGAAGAGGGCGAATGGTGCGTACACGCTATCAAAAGCAACCGTCAAGGCTAGAATTGTGTGTGCGGCATCCATTCCTTTTATTTCTTTTTCCAAGTTTCCAGCTTCTCCGATGCGAGGGCACAGTAGTGGAGATGGAGGCGGTGGAGAGAAGTGGTGATGAGAGCGAGAAGAGAAGGCATTGCTTTTCCCTTCCTTGGGAAAACAAGTTTCACTCATTTACACACATATATGGACGAACAACATGTTGTCCGATGAGTCAATGCTCTTTTTTCGTGCCTATCATGCCTTTCTAAACTTTCTCATCCCCTTTGAAGATATCAACTTGCCATGTTTTCCAAAAAAGTAAGTTGGGGACTTTTGAAATCACATTTTCCCTTTATAAAAAAGGAATTGTCACTCGAATGGCACTTGCAAATGCCATTAAACTTTCCTTGACTCCATTAACCCTTAGGATAAAAATTAGCTTACCTTGCTTCTACGAAATTTCGAAAGATATTAGGATTCTTGCGGAATTCTAGTGATGCCATTTTTGTGTTTTAAGAGGACTAAGGCCTTTTAATAACTACCCGAAGATGATGCAATAAGTCTTTAGGATTTCTGCATTTCTCTTTTAAAATTATTCCATTTTAACTTTTGCGAATGCTGTCTTTGAGTAAATAAAGTGTTCCTTGTTACTCATTCTCCAAGCTTACCATCTCTGAATGGTTCAAAGCACCTTTTAAAGTGCTTATATTCTTTTTTTGAAATGTAAATGAAAAAAAGTTCCATGTATAATGCCAAAAAAGTCAGTATCACACCCAACCTAGTGCCTAAAATATGCCATAGTTGTGGTCAATGCCACGCTGCAAAGTCCTGGCAGGATCCGCTAACGTGGAAATGTGGAACAAGTACCACTAATGTACACGGCTCGGCTTAAGGGGCCAGTAAATGCGCTTAATAAGGTAAATTTGTATTGGTTTCACTCATTTTTCCTTGTTTCTGCGCATGATAAATGGTCAGAGTGAACTTAGACACTGTCTGTTCCTGTTCCTCTCCCTCTACTGCCATACCTCGCCTTTATGTGAAGAAAGGTAAAAAAGCATTGACTGTTGACCGGCCTATTTGTCATGGGGTAGGAGAGCTCGATCCGACCATCTCCCTACTCTTAACGAAGCCTCTTCAAGTCTTCTGATACTTCACAGTAGTATGACGTGGTGCCTTTTGCCGTAACATCGTCCTTGTAAGGTGCCGTTGATATCTCATTGAAGAAGTTAAAACTTCATCGAGCGCATTTAATCCTTCTTTATATTTTGGTTGACTTTACTACTTGTCCAACACTGAGGAGATAAGTAAAGTACCCATTTGTGTGATGAGATCATGGATAGAATAAATCATATTACACGAGACGGCAATGCAAGAGATACACACACAGCTTATTCCTGCCTTTCCTCCTCTGAGAAGAAATTAGTCAGTTTCACTGAAGGCGCGAGGGCACACACGGGCTACACCCAGTGCGAAAAGGCCACACCACGACCACGAAGCTGATATTGCCTCCTGTCAGCTGTCTGAACCTGTCTATCGCCAGAAACGGTCAAACAACATGGCTTAAAGGTCAACACCTTTCCCTCCACTAGGTGTATTGCAATCTCTAACCGCTATTGTTATTGGGCTTGTTTCTGTGCTATTCACCTTTATCACGATCCCGCAATCGCAGTTTGTTTAGTATAGGCTGAATTATTCCGCATATTTATGGTCATGAAGGCTGTTTTTTCACCTTTTACAATGCTTTTCTGGTCTCCTTCATTCAGGACTGAGGTCAGGCTGCTGTTTATGTGAGAAGCAGAGGGTTTCGTTCCTTAAATTTCCCTACTTTTAAAAGAGTGATGAAACCTTAATAACTGGTTCGATTATTCCCGCTCTAAAGACAGGACATGGCAAACCGCAATGGTTCTGACTCCGCTGCGCAAAATTGATCTAAATGCGATCAAGCTGTATTGTTTTGTGGTCAGAATCCTAGTTGTATACCTTTTTAACACAATGCCTCCAACGCCCTTACAGTAGTGGTGTCCCAAAGTTCCTAAAGTTTGTTTTAACCATACTTCTTCTATATAATTTGCTTTTCAAACACTCTGACTCCATTTTCTGAATCTAAAAGTCCATTGTATTATCAACTAACTGTGAGATATTGCACAGTTTTCTGGCCTGGCATTACTGGTCAGACACCGTCGCCTGAAATGTGAGGCCTCAGAAAAGAAGGTAGCAAAAGCAGCTTCAGATTTTCCCCGGAACTTTTGCATCCTACTACCTCCGTGTAGGAGACAAATAATGAATAGAGGGAGAAATATACCTTTGAATATGACTTGTGACAGCCGACTCCTGCGATTTCATATTCCTCATTGCAAAAGTTGCGGATTCCTTTTGAATTTAGTGTTTTTTGAGAACCGGTTAATTGCATTTAAAAAGTTAAGATAGAAATACGAGTAAATATTTCTTCGGGCAGAAAAAACTGCCATCAGTACTAATAGCTTGTAAATACACTTTGAGCAGCATTTGACTTCCCCGAAAGATCGCTTTTTCCAGCAACAGAAGTAAAACGGAGTGTACTATAGAAAGTATGCTTGCCCAAGTGTTTAGTTTAATAAAAAGTCAAGATGACCGGACCTATTATACCACAAAACTTAAAAAATTACCGATCGGGAAGCACGCCTTGTTTTCCAGGCCCCCTTTCTGCATCTTGAAGTGTTTACTCCCCGGAGCAATAAGAAGAGTCCTGACAACAACCACAAAACTGTATCTCGGTTAGCTTCAGTGCAACAGTAGCTGCAGCAGGCCGCCAGGTTGATGTGAGGGCTTGCAAAAATGCCCTTCTACCCCGCTAAAAGCCTACCATTCTGTCAAGTTCCGGCACTGTTCGTCAGTAGGTGGAAGTGGCTCAGTCTGGCCACGACCTTCTTCCTCCTGCCCTGACAGTTACTGACTTGTCACTGTCCCTTGGTGTTATGGCTAAACCTTTAGTTTGTTGCTTCAGACCCGCAGTAAAGTGATGGAAGAGAAGAACCAGCATGGTTTCGCACCTTGCTCAGCATATCGCATTTTTAAAGTCGTAGGAGAAATCAGTAGCGGTGAGAGTAGCACTTTTCATTTAAACTTTGAAATAAAAACCAGAAGCTTTTGTGTCAGACGTTAGATGGAAAGGCTTTCTTGAATAGCAATTTTGGACCTTTAAAATATTTTTAGAGTTTTTATAATAGTCAATAAATTCGGTTCAAGATTTGAAAGGAGTAAGGATAGCCTGTTCAAACGTCAAGCGACTTATGCACCTATGGCTTTTAAAGGCACTAATCAACGCCTTGGTTGTTCGTTGATTCTAAAAATAACTCTGAAAAGTGATTCTGAGCCATCTGTGAAATCTTCGTCGAAGGTCCGAAGCACGATTTCGATGGATCTTTTGGTCACCTTGAAAGTGCCTACGGTCAAATGCGGAAAACATAATCTCATGGAGGAATCCCTTGCAACTTTGATGACATTAGTGCTTTGTGATAATTGCAGCCCAGGATGACGTACGGATGCATTACACCACTAGGTCTCTAGGAAGTGGGAGTAATCAAGACTTTAAGACATGGTTATTCAAAAACCTATTTTGCTAAGGTGCGCATTAGAATCAAAGATGACCTATTTTTCACGGTTAGAGGGATGGAAAGAACCATAAGTAATGCGGTCAACGTGACCGATATCCTCCAAAAACTGGGCGCATACACATCACCTATCCATCAGTCGGGAATAAAACAGGTTCCAATTTATGATTAGAGTGGCATTTCCTTTCTCCCTCTCTCCTGTGATAATAAAACCCTAGACTTCGTCTGACCTTAGGGCAAAACAGCGCTGTGTTTTGGCGCAAAAAGAACTCCTTTATTATTGCCTGTCGTAAGGTCATGAGGCACTGGCATGCTTATACGACAATAAAGATCTGCTCGAGAAAAATCGGCGCCTACTTTTTTGGAATCCAATATCCACGATGTCGAGTGTCCAATGCGTTTTGAATATTCGTTAAATATTTGTAGCCGATTTCCTCGAAATTCTTATTTGACGGCATTTTCGCAAGGTAAAAGTTGGCATCAGAGCTGGACCACTGGCTTTTAATAGAAGAACTGAGCAGGAAATGTCAGTTAGGTCTCTTATTAGATATCGCAATTTTATACGACCTGCAGAGGCCTCTCAAAAGGCAAATGAGCGCTGGTGTCAAAATTCTACTTGTGTTCTAAAAGTGGTTTTTAAATAAAACCTTGGAAATGGTTGTGAAACCTAAAATACCCTGATTCTGCAGCTATTTTTCTCCGTATTTGTCTAGGCATTGTCGCTGAATAATTCGTTTTGGGAAAGATAAGTTAATCTGAAGGATAGCTTTAAGGAATCTGGTCCAGGCTAACTTACGGGAGCCCTTCTGTTGGGCAACTAGAGAGGAAATTTTCAATCGGAATTTGGACGCAGTCAAGATACATTATGGCTGGCAAAATTTTGCAATTAAACTTAAATTTGTCTGGAAGGCGTGCAGCTGCTCGTGGAGCTTTGAAAAGATTCCATAAAACCGATTTTCTTCTTGTAAAGGAACCTGCGACGCGATAAGTTAAAGACCTAAAACTGTGGACATCTGATTTTGTCAAATATTGCTGCTAAAATGAACTGTTAGGGCGAACTGAAATTCTCCAAAAATGGTGGTTCTTCTTTCTTCTCGACCTCTCGGGGGGTCCGCCTGACTGAAGCGAAAGATGCGAACACGAGTGATGACTAGGATAAAAGGAGCGACAATCCATGGCCTGTGATGAATATGTGCGTGGATGCGCAATGACCGAAGATTCCCTGTCACCAACACTCTCCCTCTTTTCCCCTCGTTTGTGTTTTGTTTCAGCCTTTCCTCTTTTTTCGCAAGCACCGAAAGGGTGAATGTGAGCGTATGTGACAAGAGGCCGTTTTTCCCCACCTGGTGAAACAATGGCGCTGATCAGTCGGTGGAAAGAATAAAAAAATGAAGAAGCCACGAGCTTTCTTTCCACTTTAAGCGCAGTACGGTGGGCTCTCGCTGAACTCACCTGCGTCCTCGAAGTGACAAGCAAAAAATTGGACTGGGAGGAGCCTGCCACCCTGCTTCGATTAAAAGCCTCGGGTTTGTGTGAAATTTTGGACTAAATTCTTTTCATCCTCACCTCATTCTCTGACTGCAGACGAAATCTCTACAATTTTTATTTAAGACTAATAATGCTCGCTTACTTCGGTATGAGTGAATTCTTTCAGTTCAGCAATTCCAAAACCCATTCAGAGTATTAGCTATCCACATGCCGGATGCGGAATTTGGAGAGTGTAATTTATTGACTAAGCTCTAAAGTTTGTAGGTTTAAGAGTTTCTTTTCGAGATTTTCACTTTATTTAGGGTTAAATCTGCCTAAGCTTGTCAATTAAACTGATCCGTTTCTCTATAATGTTATGGTATGGGATATTCTAGTAAACTTAATAGACTGTTCTGCCTCGAGAAGCAGACACCCCATCCTCATACGCCTTCCTCTCCAGTTTACTTTATTTTTAACTGTCTGTTCTTTTTGCACCTGATTTTCTAATACTGCTGGCTAGAAAGGGTTTAAATTCACCTTGAGACATCAGCAGAATAGGGAAGTGATACGAGACAGTACTCTCCTCCTATTCCACCCTAAAGAGCGCATCCCCTTTACAGGAAAACATGGCTACAGTATGTTTGATGAGGTCTTCCGTTGTGGTGCGAGAAGAGTACTCTAGTTTCGCCTGTTTTTAAGAAGGAAATTTTTCTTGCACACTTTCTAGTTATCTCGTACTGAACATAGAGATTTTCAGACAGACAGTAAACGATTGCGTCCGCAGTCCACCGCATTGTCTTCAAGGGTGAAGTGGTGCATCCCTTCGAATCGTGGGGTGGGCAGTGAGTGGGTCGTTTGGGATGAACCAATGATGCCTTTTTTTCTGCCAAACTAACTTTGAAATATAAAAGTCATTTATCATCACAAGCCACTCAGTCGGCAATCCAAAATGTGTTTAGCTCAGAAGGAGTGAAGTACGAAGTGACTGTCTTCGAAGCCTACTGCTTAGCTTCCAAGAACTTCCCACTTGATGTAAGCGTTAATCAGGTGTTTTGTTACTCTTATCTGCTATGACCAAGACGTTTTCCTAACACATCGAAATTAAATTGACGTGTTAATTGTGAAACGTAGTTCTGTTTCTATTCATCATCAAAAGTAGAGTGTCTACATGATCTTGATGTACCACCACCTGATGATTTACCAACAGCATTAAATTATTCATTTAAATCATTTCTAAGCTGAACGTTCCGCTGCTGCGCCTTCTTTAATTACTCCACAATAAAGTTGACGAGAACCCATCTCCCGCATCTTGGAAACCCAAATGAACTCGGCTTGTAAAGAGGGCAAGCTCAAACCCCTCCCTGCAAGTTGGATAAAACGATGATTGATGACATGAGATTTCAAAAGGGCAGAAAGATTGTAAAATGTATGCTTTGGAATGCATGCACGGAAATGGCCAAATGCATTTCACAAGTCTCTGCAAGTTAAATCCGATTATTGCATCTAGCTGCTTCAAGGACGGAGCAAAAGTTTCGGCCACCTTTTAGCTGACACGTAGCATTGGCAGTTCCCTCATATGTGACTGGATTTCCTAATGGCCAGTACATTAAATCTGGTTGAGTATTCTTCAAGTACTACCCAATCCCATTTAAAGTTTGAGGTTTTTTTCCAAATGTGTGACGTCTTACCCAACTTTCATCGTTTTCAGTTACAAAATGACAAGGCAAACCCTCTTCGTTCTTCTCTTGAAATCCAGACAAGGTGCATACCAGTCTGGCGTACACAAGCCATCTCATACTCCATAATCCTGGCGTAACGTAATGCAAATGAACAAAATTTTCGGTCACTTAACTCCTTCAATATCTAACTAGTCAATCAATTTAGATTTCGTACTTATTTCAAATCGTGGTACTTATAACTGCCCCGAACCTCACTGTCAGTTTACATTAGTACCCACTGCCCATCATGGTTCATCTTAATCTTACTCCGGACCTTCCGAGTGGCTCATTAACAGTCGATAGAATGGTACTTCTTAAACCGTGGATCATTATACTTCCCGGCAATAGTTCCGCGATAGTTAGAGCTATTTACTTTGCTGTTTTGACTGCAAATAGTGCAGTTCGTGTCCGTGTTTTCACCTACTTGTTCTGAAAGGGTAATCCGGACAACGTGAGTTTGGAGGTAGGTTATTCATCAGTAACTCTAATGGAAAGTCAAAGTAGTTTGGCTAAAACAGCGACAGTTTTTAAGAGAACAATTCTCAGCCCGAAGAAAATGCCGATGATGGTGGTTATTTCAATCACCGCCCACCCACGGATACACTAACTCATCTGTGAGTGATGACTGCGCCCCCACATCAACTGACAGACAGCTATTTGTGGCATATAACAATGAGAAATGTCTCAAATAGAGCGTTCGAGCGCCATTTCCTGCGTTTGTGTGTGGCCGAAAGCAATACCTCATGCAGAGGGAGAAGGTACACAAGGGATGAGGGGTGGTGTTGATTGATGCGCCTCAGCTCGCAATGCTGACGACTCTTCCTCTCCTGCATTCACAACTCATCTCTCCTCCTCTGCTGCTGCTTTTGCACGTCCCTCATCATCATTTTAATTGCCCAACTAATCACAAACCCCACTTTCCGCTTTTGGTCCGTGCATCTGCTTATTTTCGTGCCAAATATCTTTTTCCGTTGATTCCGCTTGATCCATTAAATACCTCTCCACTTCTAAGGCATCCTTCCAATTCTACGCAATCCTTTTAAAAATAGGGATGGGCAACTCAGTCTTCCCTTAGCAACAGCAAAGTGCAATTGTGTGCGAGTGAACTGTCTAAAAACTCCCTAATGTCAAGCTTGAGGCACCTTTAAAAACAGGGCCAACGGTTCTGGAAGTGTGTTTCCCATAAGTGTGCGGAAAGACCAGAAGATCAGTATGCGTAAAGTGTGTAGAGTTACACGCCGAATCTCAGGAGCATTAACAGCTCGAAGCATTGCACTACTTAGCTGAAAAATAGCCTTCTTCCAATGAAGGTATCAAATGAATTTTGGAAAATAAAATGGTTCTCACTTCACCTTCAAATAAGTTCCACCATGAAAAAGCTCTTTTGTGGCAAAGCACCTTCCCACCTACCTGAACTCCAACTTTGGCTTTTTTTGAGGAGAGCACGTTCCGCAGGAACCCTTTGCGCTTCCTTTTTTTCCAATTCCCTGACCTTTTCAAAACCCTCCCCCTCGCCTTTTTTGGTGAACGGAGGTGCTAGTCGATTCGCCAGCTTGATGCAATGTGGTGCGCACACATCCTCCTTTTTAGTCCCCTTCTAAGGTATATTCAGTTTAAAACAATTCGATTAAACTAGAGAGATCCCTGGGATTTTCCTATACAAATCCTAAGTTCTCAAACGTATGACATGAGATAAAATAGTGAATAGAATAAATGAAAAGGAAACAGGGGATTACTAGTTTCTTAAATAAAAAATTATGATTCAGAGTCGCTTTCCTAATTTTTATACCTTGGAACGCTTGTTCTTGAATGATTCAAAATCGTACAAATACTTCCTCCCCGGTAATTAGCGCCTTGTTTTTGACAACCAGCAAAGCATTTCGAATGATCAAGTTAGATATAGAGAAGATACTATCCTAGCATCTGCCTAATTTCTATCATGGTCAGATGCAGAAATATTTGTCAAAATGATGTAACTGTCCTGCTACCGATTTTTTCGCTTTTCTGTATAATTATGAGTTAACTTTTTGCTATCGTAAATGTACGTGAATGACTAAATTCACCATTCCTGTAGGATAATTCATTTCATTTGCAGTTTGCTCACAGGACAGGTTATGTGTCAGTCTGAAAGCCAAAATCAGCTATTCCACCTATTGAATGCTCATAAGAGTGACTGATAAGACCGAGGGTTGAAAAACTCTACCAAGATTGTCACTAACAGAACGGCTTAGGTGACCGTCTTTGAAACGATTTCATTATTAAAAAGCCTTTCTGTGGTGGAGCGTTCCATCAACATACTTCATTTAAGTAAAAGAAACTTTGTTACCCATCGTCATGACTATTGGTGTCTGGTTTGGCTATCAGTAAACTGACGCGCATGCTTATCGCTACCAAGTATACAAATACCACTGTCGGTTCGACTCGACCGTTCCTCCTATAAAACTAAATCAGTAAAAAAAGCGAAATCAGGGGACAGTTTTAAATTTCATCTGACTAAAAAGCAGAAAATGCATTACCACTAATTGAGCTTGCGGGTTTTCTGTTAGTACTTTTCCGGTAATCAGTTAGAGGTGGGCCTAGAGTTGGATAATGCT